TGGCTATTTGATCCATGCTGGCCTTGAACCTGCTATCCTCCTGCCCCAGTCTCCTGAGAACTGGGAGCACAGCTGTGCATCACGATGCCTGGTGAGCAAGGGGATTTGCTTCTGCTCGAAGCAGAGTCTGGGACTCTCCCACTCATGTCCCAACCATAAGGCTGCCCTAGTGTCATTTCCACCTGGGTGGGTACAAGGTCAGGACCAGCCCCATGAAGTCCCTGAAGTGAGGACTAACAAGTTTTCCTTGAGATATGGGTTTGGACATAGGGCCCTTCTACACAGGTTTGGTTGAGGGAAACTACTGTTCCCTTGCCCCAAAGCTCACATTACCACCTGGGGAAGGACTCAGCTGCTCCTACATGAGCTGGGCTGCAGAGCTCTAAAACCAACAACCACAATAGTAACTATGGAGTGTTACTCTGAGCTGTCTGAAGTGATGGGCTGCAAACAGCAGTGGGCAGTTCCTTGCCCTTATGGAGTTGACTTTCTTGAGGGGCGATTAACATACAATAAGCAACAAACAGAAGTGTATGATGTGGTAGGGGGAAAGTTACAGAGAAAATAGAACAGGGTAGGGGAGCCTGGAGCACTGGTGGAAGAGGTAGGTTACAACTATAAACAGGAGATGCCTTATTTATTTATTTTGGTGGGACTGAGGTTTGAACTCAGAGCTTCATGCTTGCAAAGTATGTGCTCTATCACTCCAGTCCATTTTGTTCTGATTATTTTTGAAGATGGGGTCTTCTGAACTTTTTGCCCAGGCTGGCCTCAAACCATAATCCTCTCCATCTCAGTTCCCCAAGTAGCTAGGATTACAGGTATGAGCCACTGGCACCCGGCAAGAGAGGGCTTATTTTTGAAGGTGGCTTTGAACAAACACTGAAAGGAAGTGAGTAGTGAGTCACATGGATATCAGAGAGTATTTGAAGCAAGAGTATTTGAAGGGGGCAGGAAGAATGGAAGGGCACAGGCCCAAGAGGAATCTATGCCTTGCATGCTGAAGGATGTAGAGAAAGGGAAGTCAGATTTGTGCTGGGCTGGGCCACTGTCACCTGCAGGCCCTACCAACCTGGATCGTGAGCTGTCTGGCCAGAATCGCCCCAACGGTGTCACACAGACTGGTCAGGAGGCAGCACGCAGCACACAGGGCTGACTGACCCTGTCCAGATTTCTTTGCACATTTCAGGTAGAGAAGCCTGGGTGACAGGGGTGTGGACAGAACACAGGAGCCATGAGTTTGGGGAAAGACCAAAGCCATGAGTTTGGGGAAAGACCAGAGACGTGCTTTGTCAGAGGACCCTGACAAAGCACGTCCTCCCCCAGGTATGCAGCAGGTGTTTCTGAACTTAGTTTATGGATGGAGAAGAAAAGATTAGAAGAACCCCAAGACACTGGGTCAAAAAGTCCACAGTAAGAGCCAGAGCTCACGGGTGGAGGCAGGATGGTTCTCTACCGGGGAGGGTGACCTCCCCCAGTCAGGCCAAGTCAATGTAATGACCAACTTCTCCACCCCTAAACACTAGGTTTCAGGTCTTATTATCTGAAACGGAAGCAAGAGGGTTAAACAGTAACCAAGCACCACAGCCAATGACAGAGCTAACTGCCTACATTAAAAAGTCCACTTGCTTCTCTGAAATTCAAGTGAAATCCTTCCAATCCATCCTGGCTCTGCACACCTGCATCCAAGTTGAGCATGCTCTTTATACAGAGAAAACAAAAGTCAAAGATACCATGGCACTCTGGGCTACCCTCCCCCTAGATCCCCTTCTTCATGCCGCTCACACATCCAGGAACACACACAGATGGGCAGGCAGGTGAGAAGTGGCCAGAGGTCCCTCTGGCAGCATCACTGACTGGATCTGACATACTTGGTTCTAGATGTCTCCCTGCTGCTTTTCTATGGAGACACTGGGGATGGATCACAGCTCTGGTGTCATTCCGTTTAACCAGAGGCTGAGCATTAGCCCTTGGGAATAACATTCAGGATGGAAGGGATGGAAGGGCCAATCCAGGCCCAAAGTTCACAGTGGAACCATCAACCATTAATCTGGGTTCCTGAAAACACTCAAAGTCAAGAAATGAAGATTCAAATTACAGACTGTCAGAGTTGGACCCAAATTAGCAGTAATTTATTTTAATCCTCCCATTTAAGAGAGAAAACTGACGCTTAGGGTGATAAGGTGAGTTGACAGCAGGTCTTCTGGTTTCACATTGGAGGCTTTGTTCTGTGCCCTGCTGCTCTCAACCATCTCCCCAGCTCTCAGGGTCCAGGGACCTCAGGCTGACCTTTGCCTACCCCACACACCTCTTGGAGAAGGCATTCCCTGAAGAGAGATGGAGGTTTGGGGATGTGGGGGTGGTACTGAGACCAGAGCTAGGCAGGGCAAAAAGGCAGAGGCCCTGCTCTCAGAATGGTCAGGTGGGCATCCTGTCCAAACCTCAGTGTCCAGGTGGCTGACGCGACTAACAGTGTTGGCCTCAGACAGTGGTGAAGAACAAAGGAGATAATATGTACTGTGCCCCCTGAGTTTCTATCCTCCGACCCAGAGAGCCTGCAAGGCTGCCCCTGTGTTACAAAACCTGGGTTCCCTTCTTTCAATTCACTCAGGCTATTTAACCTCAGAGTAACTCTGGGCTCCTCATCTGTACGTGTGCTAACAGCACCTCCCTCATGGGCTTGTGGCAGGGACTGAATGAGTGACTAAATGCAACACTAGCCCATGTCTCTTTATTCTACTCCAGTTGCTGTGCATTGGAGCTGCAGACTGCAACAGGACAGAAAGCCTGAGGGGACTATCTACTGTGTGAGGTGAGCCAGCTTGGGGAAGGGAGGTTTTCTCCCCTGCTGGGGAACACTTGGGTGTCACCATCCCCGGCACTGCCTCTGAATTTCTGTGCCTGGGACAGGATGGCTGAAGACCCCAAAGCTTCACCCTTAGAACCCAGGCTACCAAGAACCACCTGGCCAGACCTCTGCAGGTGCTGCAGGGAGAAGACAAAAGCTCTGGCCAGGGTAAACCATCACGGCCATCTCCTGTCCCAGCTAAGAGGGATGTGGGTAAATTGAGGCCAAGCACATGGAAGGACTTGCTAACATCCCCAAGGGCTGATGGAAGAACTGGCGCGATAATGTTTAATGAGCACTTACTAAGTGCTTTCTCAGTACTGCCTCATTTAACCCTCCCATCCATTTTATGAGGTATTATCCCATTGACACGAGGCCCAGCTCATATGGCGAGCCAACGGGGAAGGGGCTGACAATAGAACCCAGACAGGACCTCATGCCCTGCACCACGCAGCCTCCCGCTGCTGGCTCTCAGCCCGGCTTCCTTGTGCGTGGAATCCGGAAAGAAGGATCCGACTTCAGTCCACAGAGAAACGTTAGATTTCATGCGGGACTTGTGTTGCCAAGTCCATGCCCCCCTTTCCGCCCCTTCCTCTAGGTCTCCTCCCATGACAGCCCCCTACCCCCACCCCGCGTGGGTCCCGGCCCCATTACAGCGCGTGGGCGGCGATCCAGCAGCAGGAGGCGCAGATCCACAGGCCGAAGGAGATGCAGACGCGGTGGCGGGCGAAGCAGCGGTCTAGGTAGTCCCAGTTCCAGAGCGCGGGCGCGGGCGCGGGGCTGGGCGCCTCCTCCATGGCGCGGCCCCGCGCGTCCCCCCGGCGCGCAGCTCCCAGTGGCCGCAGCCCCGGGTGTCGCCGCCCGCGCCCCTCCTCTGGGCTCGGCTCTGCAGCGCGGCCGAGGTAGACGCGCCCCCTGCAGCCCCCAGGCGCGGGCGGCGACACCCGGGAAAAGTTTCCGGGACCGCGCGGCTCCCCAGCCTCGCGCTATTGTCGGGGTCGGCGGGGCGCAGGTCGCCCCCCAGCGGCGGAGCCGGGAGCAGCCGCCGCACAAAGGCTGCACGCGCCCCGCCCCCGAGGCCGCGGCAGTGCGGGGCCGCCCGACCCTGGGCTGTCGCCCGACCGGCCCACGCCGCGCCGGTCCCCGGAAGGCGCTTTGTCCCCTCACTATCCGCCCCACTCCCTGAGCCCGCCAATGCACACAGCTGCGGTCAAAGTGCTAGGGTGTACGGCACCCCGAGGTGCGCGGGTCTCTGGTCCCCAGTGTTAAAGGTGCAACACAAAGGGTGGTGGGCGACCGGGAGGAAAGATGCAGCGGTGCTGGGAAGCAGATCGCACACTCCTCCCACTGTCTTCTGAAGCTGTCAACAGCACCCTCTGTCCCCACCAAGGGACGGACGTCATCCTAGATCGCGGCCAGCAGTCCTGCCACACTGCCACACAATTCAGGCTGTTTTTTCTCCAAAACTATTATGATATTTTAACATTTTTATTGACTTTAGGAAGTTCGCTTGAAGGAATACATCACTATCATTTGGGGTGTTTTTGTTTTGTTTTGCCTTTTTTTTTTTTTTTTTGCGGTACTGAGGTTTGAACTCAGGGCCTACACCTTGAGCCACTCCGCCAGCCCTTTTTTGTGGTGGGTTTTTTCGAGATGAGGTCGCTTGAACTATTTGCCGGGACGTCTCTGCCTCCTGAGTAGCTAGAATTACAAGGCGTGAGCCACCAGTGCACCGCTAAAATTTTCTCTCTCTCTCTCTCTCTCTCTCTCTATAGCAGTACTAGGGATTGAACCCAGGGCACACTATCACTTAAGTCTCCAGTGTTTTTCTTCATTTTTTAAAAATGATGCCCTTAGGGGCTGGGAATGTAGCGCCTCAGTAGAGCACTTGCCCAGCATGTAGGAGGCCTAGGCTTCCTCGCCAAAAACCAGAGTCCTATGTTGAAATCCAATCACCAAGTTGATGTATCAGAAGGTGGGGCCTTTAGGAAGCCATAAGGTCATGAGGATGGAACTCACAGCAAGAAGCTGCCATTTATGACCCAGAAAGCAGGCTCTTAGCAGACAGCAAACTTGCTAGTGCTTTTCCTAAAAAAATAAATGTATGCTGTTTATAACTCATCGAGTCTGAAGTATTTTGTTACAGGTTACTGAATGGACTAAGTAAGACAAGGCTTGTACTAGAAGCTAGGGACACACTATTGAGAGAAACAGACATGTTCTTTCCCTCCTGGGGTTTACAGCCTAGTAGTAGAGACAGTAAAGCGAAGTACGTTATTAACATAATGGGGCCCAAACTAAAGTGAAACAATTAAGATGAAGTGATAAAATGAAGAACCTAGAGGCATGATTAAAGGATTAAATTTCAAAAGGGAAAATGCATAACTCACGTTTCTTGTCTAGGGTAATAGTAAGCACCCACTTGTCTTCCAAGCTGAACCACTGGCAGTGCCCCGTGAGGGAACCCCTATCTGACATCCTTGCCCCTGGCTCCTCCAGGGTTCTGCTGTGTGTCCTATGTGCTTGTACAGAGCTGTCTCTGCATTTTCCTCAGAACATACCTGTGATTGTCTACATCCTTGGCTTCTCTGGTGACCTTGTCTACCTGCCACATTTCCAAAGATCATCTATTCACTATCTGTCCCAATCAGTGCAACCCTCCCCTTTGTGTCACCATCTTACCAGGCCCTAAGGCAGGGCTACCATCTGTGATCTCCTTTTTGTACATTTGCTCTGGGTGGTTTGGGCAGGGCTGCACCCCGTGTGAGGGATATGGTGGGGGAGGAAGGGGGAATCTCTTCCTTGTCTTGTCTCTTGCAATTCTGGTGGCCACCTGGCCTTGCCTGTGTCACTGTAGCCAATCTCTGTGGTAACATGGCCTTCTCCTCTTGTGTGTGTCAAATCTCCCTCTGCCCCTGTCATACAGAGTGACACTTAATCATAACTCAAATGAGACTCCTTCTCCATAGAAGATAGCATTTATAGGCTGCAGGCCTTAGGACCTGATATTTTGGGAGGCCATTATTCAGCCCACTGTGCTGTGTTCCCCAGCACAAAGCTATGGAGAGAGATGGCTCTCAGTGGAAGGGCTGCTGGCAGTCACCATGGCATGCAAAAACCTGCAGCAGGCAGGGCGTGAATTGCAGGGCCTGCACATCTTGACCTGGAATTCTCCCTCTCCTCGTTGCGGCTGTGACTTGAGGGCAAAGCCCTTGGGCCTCCCTGCACTTGTGTGTGTTCCTAGCTATAAACAAGGGAGATCGCCGCTACCTTGTGATCACTGGAGATCCTGCAGCTCAAGGACTGGCACGCCTAGGCGATGGAAGATGGTGCTGTCATTGCTTTCCCTAGGAAGCACCTCAGATCACCAACAAACTGGCTCAAAGGGAGTATGAAGAGGAAAGTCAGTCCTCAGCCAGCTCTTGCTTCTCCTCTCCTCTTTCCTTCTCTTGCCCCACCAGAGGGCTTCTGGCATTTTGCCTGTCTGCAGTCAAAGCCCTTGGGCCTCCCTGCACTTGTGTGTGTTCCTAGCTGTAAACAAGGGAGATCGCCGCTACCTTGTGATCACTGGAGATTCTGCAGCTCAAGGACTGGCACGCCTAGGCGATGGAAGATGGTGCAGTCATTGCTTTCCCTAGGAAGCACCTCAGATCACCAACAAACTGGCTCAAAGGGAGTATGAAGAGGAAAGTCAGTCACGGTGGCGACACCAGGCTCAGCTCTTGCTTCTCCTCTTCCTTTCTTGCCCACCAGAGGGCTTCTGGCATTTTGCCTGTCTGCAGTCAGACGTTCTTCCCAAACTTAATTTTTTTAAAAAATTAAGATACATATGTAGTAAATTGGTTACTGTAGAGGAGAAAATTAACATTTCCATTGTCTCACATTGTCACCAGCACCTAGAATCTACTCATGTGGCAAAAATCTTGAGTACAATACAGGATTATATTATTATTATTATTATTATTATTATTATTAGTTTTTGGTAGGACTAGGGTTTGAATTCAGGGCTTCACACTTGAAAAGCAGGTGCTCTACTGCTTGAGCCACACCTCCCATCCAGGATTATTAGCTATAGTGTTCTCATTTTGTTTCTTGACTTGCTTCTCCCACAGATTTGCTACTTTGTATCCTTTGACTTACATCTCATTTATTCCCACACCCAGGCTTTATTCTGCCTCTGTGTATTCTACCTTTTTGATTTTTACATTTCATATGTAAGTGAGATCATGCAATATTTTTTCTTTCTGTAGACACACTTAGTGGAATGCCCTCCAGGTTCCATCTACCTATGAGACATTGTCCCACTGTGTTGCCCAGGATGACTTCAAATCCTAGGCAGGCTCAAGTGATCTTCCTGCCTCAGCCTCCTGAGTGGCTGGGATTATAGGCACATGGCACCACACCCAGCAGTTAGCACTTGCTCTTTCTAGCAGGTATGAGGCGGTATCTAGAGGTTGGATTCTCATTTCCCTAATGAGTAGTGGTGTTGAGCACCTTCTCATGTACCTGTTGGTTATTTTTATGTCATCGTTGAAGAAATGTCTATTCAAATCCTTTGCCCATTTTTTAGTTAAGCTCTATGTGTTCTTACTATTGAGTTGTAGGAGTTTTTGTGTACCTTGAAAATTAGCTCCTTGTCAGACAGTCATGTGTCACTTCATGATGGGGACATGATATAAGAAATGAATCATTGGGCAATTTAGTCATTGTGTGAACACCATGGAGTGTATTTGCACACCTAGATGGTAGAGCCCACTAAACACAAGGTCATATGGGGTGTGTATGTGTGTACAGCAAATGTTTTTTCCTACTGTCTAGGTTGCCTTTTCATTTTGTTGATTATTTCCTTTGCTGTGCAGAAGCTTTTTGGTTTATATAGTCCCATTTGTTTTTGCTTTTATATTTGCTTTTGTACTCTGAGCTTTTGGTATGATAGCTAAGAAATCATTGTCAAGTCCAATGTCAAGTAGCTTTCCCCTCATGTTTTCTCTTCGCAGTTTTATGGTTTCAGTTTTAGTCTTTTATCCATTTTTTGGGGGGGGACTGGGATTTGAACTCAAGGCCTCACACTTGTTAGGCAGGTGCTCTTATCACTTGGGCCACTCCCCCAGCCCCTTTTATTCATTTTGAGTCAATTTTTGTACTTAAAGTCCAATTTCTTGTCTTTCTATCTTTTCTCTCTCTCTTTTCTTTCTTTCTGCCTATGGAAGTCCTGTTTCTCAACATCATTTAATCCTTTCTCCATTGTATCTTTTTGGTACCCTTGTTGAAAATTAGTTGACCATATATGTTTGGATTTATTTCTGGATTCTCTATTCTGCTCCATCAGTCTATGTGTCTGTACCATCCTATTACTTTGTCATATAATTTTAAATCAGGAAGTGTGATGTCAGCACCTTTTTTTGTCTCTCAGAATTGCTTGGCTATTCAGGGTCTTTCCTGGTTCCATACAAATTTTCAGATTGCCTTTTCTATTTCTGTGAAAAATGCCAGTGGGATTTTCATAGGAATTGCATTTATGATCGCTTTAGGCAATCTGGACATTTTAACAGTATTAATTCTTTCCATTTATAAACATGACTATCTTCCCATTTATTGTGCCCTCTTCAATTTCTTTCATCAGTGTTAGTAGCAGTATTTAGTATACAAGTCTTTCTCCCCCTTGGTTAATTTTTTTTTTTTTTTTGCTGGAGTTATGGTTTGAACTCAGGACCTCACGCTTGCTAGGCAGGCGCTCTACCGCTTGAACCACTCTGCCAGCCCTTTTTTATGTTGAGTATTTTTAAGATAGGGTCTCCTGAACTATTTGTCTGGGCTAGCCTCAAACTGCAATCCTCCTGATTTCTGCCTTCTGAGTAGCTAGGATTATAGGCATGAGCCAGCAGGGCCTGGCCCCTTGGTTAAATTTCTAAGTGTTTTAATTTTTTTTTTTTTTTGACAACATAAGTGAGGTTTTCTCTCTAGCA